TTGAAACAAGATATCTTTTGTATATTCTTATCAGTGGTCAAATGGACATCGAGTTTAAAGCGTAGAAATAGGAAGAACGACCATTTTTCGAAAAAAAATGCTTATTTAAGAAAAACTATTGAACCTAGCCATAGGGAATACTCAATGAAATTGGTAGAGGTTTCGTTGGCGCTTCTTATGGATCAATAATATATAGTGTGTTCCATTTAAAATAAGAAAGATTCTGCAAATTTTTATTTACAATATGTGGCATGCGGTTTTTCATACCCTGTATATCAAATTGAAATCAAATTCAATTCAAATTTATTTATTCCATGTTAATATACAATTTGTTGTATGACATACATAATTAATAAATTTCAATTATCTATCAATCACAGGTAGATTTCAGATATATGGTTTGAGAGAGTTACAAATGTAGAATATTTGTTTAAAAAAAATTCAATTGGACTTGGCACAACTGTATAATTTCAAATATTCTGAGTGAGGAATATTGGTAAAAAAAACCTATCATGCTAGATATCTCGAAAACCGTCAATATTTTCGAAGTGAAGATATATATAAAGTTTCTTTTATTTTCTATGTAGAAACCGAAAAAGCAATAAAAAATATAGGTTGCTATTTAAAAAAACACAGTTGGGATCCGCTCAGAAAAAATTGAACACCCTGTGTGACTTCCAATATTTTTATTTTGTCGAGCTCGTGCAACGAGGTAATATTATAGAAATTTAGATTCCTATCTGTTTCCTAAATTGAGATATGGAACATCGCGCCACTGTTGTAGGACCCTAATTACATGTGACAATCAGAGTCCTCTTCGTTAAGTTACTGCACTGACCAAATCTTTTGAAGATGAAACTCAAACTTCTTTAATATTTGGCTTGTACAACTTTGTCGTACTTGTCAATATTCTTGTATTGAGTATAGGTAGGCATGTCTAATTAAGCAAGGGTATGTTGTGGCTCACTGTGAAAACTTTCGTCCACTCGTCCACTTGACCAAATGTGTACCTTGTCTCATGTCTCATATAGAGTGGTACATCCATAGGTTCCCGCCGCATCAATTTTTCCTTACAGGACTACCTGTAAGTCAGCTGTACCCGACGATACCCCAGATCCTGTTATGTAGAGCTTTTTCGCCTCTGGTTTCGGAGGATTATCGTTTGAGAATAAGCGATTGCTGATCTGCTCGGGAAAAGTGATGCAAATTCTCATTCTGCAGCTCAAAAATTTGGTACAAGCCAGATTCATGAGATATAGTGCTCTTGATATACCACAACGTATAACCTCAGGGCTAGTACTAGAGTGTAACCAAGATTTAGCCAAAGCCTCGGTAGATAATAACATTATCCTGAGGTGGATTAAAGGGTACGACAGGAGTAAAGGTAATTGCATTGCCGACTTTTTATCCAAAGAAGCGGTTGGACTAAGAATTTTAGGACCCAGTGGCACCTACGACAATTGCGGAACTAGTCAAGTGTTACACCCAGGCTTAATCCTTAAAGAGATGGGACGAAACCAAAGGATGTAATCTTGCCAGAATCACCTTGGGTGACCCTGGGAAGCTGGCACCGAAGAAATATTTGGCAATGACCAGGAAAAATCTACGCCTAACAGTAGGATTTCTGACTGGTCACTGTCAACTAAGGAAACACCTCCATAATATGGGGCTGGTGGACACACCTCTATGCAGGATGTGTGAACAGGAAGATGAGACTGTCAGGCATGTCCTGTGCGAGTGCCCGGAGTTATCGTCAATAAGAGAGTGTGTGTTCGGCGAGTCTTGGCCTACACCTGCCGATATAAAGGAGATGTCTCCCAGTGACCTGTCCACCTTCCTGGAAAGGACAGGATGGACGATGACCTAGGAGGACAACTCCTCGGGAGGATGTACAATGGGTTACATGTGGCTTAAGTATTGTGGACTTACACTCACCCTCCCTACTCTACAGATACAGAGATACTACAAAGTTTTCGAAGTTTGTTAACTGAGAAGTTCTTGCTCTTGATACTATGTTACAGAAAGGATAGTTGGGGTCGCTTAGTCTACGCCCTTCAGCTCTGTAGAGCCAGGGGTGGATCATTTGGTTACTTCATGATTCATATAGGTTCCCTCGTGTAGCTAGAAAATGGAAAACCAGCACAACAGAGGGTCACATTTCCGTGGGAAGCATTTCTGCGACAATATGATGCCTGGTGTCTTGAAGGTTCTGTCAGCAAAACTGGTTGGACTAAGAGTTTGTAATCCCTTTCAGTTCGGATACACACATCTCAGGATGGGACCGCTGCAAGGCAATCTTGAAAAGGGTAAAATGCGCTTTGCAATTTGTTCCAATACTGATACTCCTCTGGAGCTCTATTAGGTATAAGATTTTCGCCTTGCACCTTTTCATTTTGAACCGATCCATTTTTGCCAGTGTGCTATTTCTCTAGAGAAGTTTTTCTCCGGCAATTCTGCCTTACGGTTGTTTTCGATGGTCCACTCTATATATCTTCATTTCCAATATTATACGTTATTATTTTTTAACTTCTCAGGGATGAAGATTGAAATATTGGGGTTTGAAAGAAAGTTAACAAAAGTAAGGGTTGGAGAAGCTGTTAAGTAACAATTATTTTCACATAGTAGTGTTTCAGTTGGTATATAGTCAATATTGCTGCTACTTACAGAGGTTACTGTTTCTAGCTAGTCTCAGAAAATTTGAAACATTACATAAGAAATTGTACAAGAATCATCAAAAAATAATATTGACCAAACACCAGGCATGGCCTTTGGCAGTATTTTGATTACTGAGTAATTTATATCGTTGTTTCGATAAAGTCAACATCCTTTTTTCTATTTCAGTTTTTACGTTGCTGATCGAGTACTACTTGAAGATATTAGGCAGTGCTCGCCTCAAATCAGTGGTCTCTTATTCGATAAATCAACGTATTTTTTTTGTTCTACAATTTTTCTTCAAAACGTTGATGAAATTGGATATTGTTTTCCTGTTTAACTGATTGACTTGAAACATGTTTTACTGTGCCTTCATATTATATTCTATTGCGTTGGAAATACAGAGATGAATTTAAAGAAAAAAAAATATCTTATTGTTTCAATAACAAAAAAAGGCAATTTGAACTAATACATTGATCAATCTGGTACTTGTAAAACATTTCAACTAGAGTAGTAAATAGTTCATCAGTCACTAGTAGACTGGAAACTAACCTTAGGATCTTTAGACTCTTCAGGAGTGACTGGGAATATATCTCCCAAACCTTCTGGTTCTGTATTGGTAGCTTTCGAATAACCATCTTCAGCGTCGTCGGAAAGTTTTGCCGTTTTCGTCACATTTTCTTCATCTACATCATCTGATTTTCTTTTACTCATTGTGAACTCTGAAAAATTGTGAAGTTGAAGATCTCATTCATGTCGCAAACTTTGACCGATTCAACCAAATATTTGTTTGCCAATTAATAAACATAGACTGATGGAAAACTTGAGGAATTGGAAAAACGTTTAGATACGAGTTAAGGTAATTCCTTGATGGCATTGAGTGTTTAGGAAGTTCTCTGTATTCTCGATAACGAACACCAAAATAAATAAATAATGTGATGATTCATACCTCTCAAATGGCTCTCCACAAAACGGTAGTTGACTAACAGATAAAGTGAGTTTGCGATAATTGCGAGACAGAATAAATGAAAAAGCGGTTTTGGATGTAAGGAATGGGCGACTATCCAAAACACAGCCTTGAACTTGAACACTGAAAATCTTGGCCGCGAAAGTTTTAATCAATTTAACAGCCTTGAACCTTCAGATAATTATAATTTTCACCAAAATACCATTATAGTAATCAAATAAATCAGAGAAACAAGTAACACAGCAGCATTTGTGAGTCCAAAGTGATTTCCTAGGCATTTGATAGAGAAGGAGCAGGTGTAGTTGAAAGATTGGCTATAGAGAAGTAATTCATGGAAAACATGCAACATGTGATATAAACAAAGACTGTTAACTCAACAATGAAATCTTCATGAAAGAAGTCATTCGGATACTTGGTTACTGAAAATGGCAATGATTCTGACGCAATCATAATGTACTGTACTTTGAGAGTCAAGGTCTGTTCTGCTATTTTCATTTGGTTTCGGCCATCACAGGCTAAATGTTTGGTTATGTTGGCAAAAAATATTTTGTGGAATACCTGAGACAGTTTTGATATGTTCGTTATTCTGACACGTCAAACACGATTGATCTAGTAACACACAGTAGGTACACCAGTTTGAGTAGTAAGAGAATAAGGCAAGTCGCAGTAAATGCACTGAAGTGGGTGATATCTAACCAACACTTGGCGATGTCATATACATCTGGTCCGAATTATATATATTTACTATGTCGACTCGAGCCGGGATTAATAAGGTGTCGCAGTGGGTATTGATTGTAATTCACCGATTCAACTGCAGACAACGCCTATAAACTTGTTTGTTCGGATTTTTTTTTCAATTTTTCAGTGGGTAAGACTCAGACGATAACCATGGGAAGATTGCTATCTTCTCCAGCCAGAAAAGTGAGAATCTCTGGAAGGGAGATTGACTGGCAAGCGCGGGTAAAGTACCTCGGCCTTCTAATAGACCGTAGGCTCACTTGAAACCCGCACATTATGAGCGTTAAATCAAAGATCGAGGGTCGGATAGCAAGTCTGTACCCTCTGATCCATAGAAAATCTAAATTGAGTTTGAAGAACAAGATTCTCATTTACAATACGATGTTCAAGTCTGTCATCATGTATGCTTCAGGCGTCTGAGGACAAGCGGCGAAATATAATATCTCCATTCTGGAGGTGTTGCAAAATAAGCTAATGAGGATGATTTTGAATGCTTCTTGGTTCGTGCAGAATGAAGCCATCCGCAGAGATTTGCAGCTGCCTTCCATTCGGCAGTCCATTCAGTCGAGGAATCGGCGAGTTTTTGATAGCGCTAAAACTCACGACAATCTGTTAGTTAGGGAAGCTATAGATTATGCTGTAGACGACCCCTCTCGATATAGAAGGCCCCGACACTTTGTCGAATGACGCCCTCATGTCCCCCGTTAAAAGATGAACAGATCTTTCATCCATTCCAACCCGCCCCATAAAGGGCGGCACTGATGTCTAAGAACTTCATGCCGTCACCAATCAGTCATGAACCCATTTGTCCTTCTTCGACAAAAATCAGTCAAAAGGGTAAGGGAGCTGGGCTCCAACCTGAACAAACTCAGTCGGTCCACTTCATCTGAACAGACTCAACCACCACTGATAAGGAGCCAGGATTGTCGGTAGTCATCTCGATCAAATGAAATCAATGCCTGCTTTTAATGTACAGGGAATAACCTCCAATAAACCTTCTCTGCTGAAGATGTTGCAGAGGTGTTTCATTGATCTACTTTGAGAGTCAGTGTGGTATTATTCAGGTTTGTTATTTACCTATTTGTATCCGTAGGTGCATGATAGGTCTAGTTTCACCAAAATTTGGGCATTTCATATACAATGTCAAACATAAAGTCCGCAACATATGCGAGTCTTTTATTAAGACATTTATTCAAAATTTGATTCCGCAGTGAGTGTGTGCTTGATAAATGAATAAACTACAGTTTTTTTCCTTTTGTCAATCTTTTTATAAATTTCGAAAAACACCAGAGAAAAAAGATGCTCAGTTCTCAATTTCTTCACACTTGTTACTGTTTATGCCATTTTAGACACTTCTGTTTCGTGTTAGACATGATTTTAATGACTAAATGCTGTTAGTACAATATAACTACAGCTCCCACATATCAGAATTACAGAAGCTTGTTTCCTCAAGTCGAAAAATCGACAACTTCAGAAACTCACTTCCGGCATGATAGTAAGCTTCATTTACTATTTTCAAATGTTTCCACAGAACAAGGAACTTATATTGCATCATCGAAGCAAATATTTATCTAAGTGAATAAGAAATAAACAAAACAAACATCTCGAATACTCAATATAGAACAGAAAACGCGCGCCACTGGTGTACGTAATGTTAGTTGCCTAATCATCCATGTTCAGTTGGATTCCGAGTCAGGAAATAACCTAAAATAAGGAACGTGTCTCGTTTGTCATTTACAGTCAGAATAACTCCATTGGTTTCACAGTTCACCTGAGTGCCTCCGTTTTATAGACCCTTGACCTATTTTCGTTGTTTGACTTCCGTATTTGCTGCAGAAATTTCGCAAATTCCAGTTGCGAGCGCTGTCAATAAAACTGCCGGAAATTCGCACTTGCACGATTCTCAATAAAACGGAACATAAGTTTGTTTTAGGAAACACAACGCACTTTATACACATTTACCACAGTTTGTCGCACGTATTTTGTGAGGTTCTGTTTACATTGTGTTAAAACCATGTGCCCCGTTTAGAGATTTTCCGCGGTTGTCAGATTGTGTGCGAAATTTCAGACATTTTCCAAAGGACGAAAGTTTTTATATAGTAATGATTATTTTTCTCAACAAAGTTGAAAATTGGGCAGCTCCTACAAAATGTTTGTCTTTCTTGTCAATTCAATGTACGTACTAGGTTTGTTCAACCGATTGAACTGATCATCCATAAATTTCTTTTAAAGACAAGCGCTATCTAGATTAATATTTTTGACAGTTGACCCAATTTGTATATATTTCCTATAAATCCTGAAAATTTGATTATGAAACTAATTTATGTGAGATTAAATTTTCTTCACCTCTTCTAGGAATTATCACAAAAATATATTCTTAATACACCAAGCTCAGTCGTTCAAAATGCATCCAATTCCAATTATTGAACACTCAAGTCACTTGTACTTGGAGCACTCGAAATTAAAGTGTTTTATCATTATTTTGAATATATTCCTAATACACCAAGCTCAGTCGTTCAAAATGCATCCAATTCCAATTATTGAACACTCAAGTCACTTGTACTTGGAGCACTCGAAATGAAGTGTTTTATCATTATTTTGCAAAAGAAGATCCGAGGCATTCATGCTGCAAAACATTTTTCTCAATAATTCAGAGATTTCACACCATGTAAGTAAAAAAAATCTGTTGTTGAAAGTTTTTTTGTTTCTGAGTGGCAACTCTGAGTAAAATATAACTTTTTCAATTTGAATCCGAAGGATATAGAAAATCTGATACACTTGGCATACACTTGGCATCATTGCTTCATTTTGTCAGTACACATCGGAACGTCCGAGGGATCTCGCTAGTGTTCGGCCTTCTATTATACTAGGTATTAACAGTGGCGTACCTACTAAAAAACAGGAGTTTTTACCTGATAAGATTCTACTTTGCTAATATCTATATACCTAGCGCTCATGAAACAAAAGTGAGTTTTGAACTTTTCTTCGGATGAGATTGTATACGTAGCGTAAGAAAATTGGTATTCATACCATAAAATACGATTGTAATTGTTATGAAAAATACATAACCTACTCGGTGATAAATACGTATCGAAAAGGATACAAATGGAATAAACTGTTTATACAGACTCTAATAACTTTTCGGAGATGCAGAAAATCCCAAAAACATTCAATCTGACAATTCTTTTTCAAAATCTGACAAATCATTTCATTTCTTTTTCATTAATCAGAACACAAAATAGTCAACACTGGGTGCTCCAAACTCCGAAAGATTATGAAGTCTCGACGATATTCAATAGTGATTTTAAAATTTTTGGGAAATCTACTATATTCATTTATTGAATATATTATATATTCTCAGTGGACACGTAGAAAATCCAACACTGACAACACTGACATATTAGAAATCCAAGTTTACTTCTCTGAATAACTACAAAAAGTGTCCTTAACGAATTATCTCGTTACGGATTAAAAACAAACTGAAATGAAATTTAACTCTTTTAGTATCGAAAAGTAGACTTTTTCACAGTTATAATTCTCTAGAAAACTCAAATAATGATAAAACTAATAATAATAACAATAATAATAATACTTTTTATTCCTTTCAGATAATACAATTATGGTGTATGAAACGTCAAATACAAGTTTATTCATCACAACAATATGCAGAATAAAATATAACAAATATTATATACAATATACTTTCAAATAATACACACATTATGTACGGTGACTTTTATAGTCTTACATTGAATAAATAGTCCGATTAATTAAAAACTCTTTGAGGTTCATATTGAACTTTTTGATATCGGAGACATTTTTCAGAGTAGTAGGTAGACAATTGAAAAGTCTTGCTCTGGCCAAAAAGGGGGCCTTTTCATAGGTTGAAGTCCTATGTTGTGTTGGGATATCGATGGCACTGAGAATTGGACTCGTAGTTATTCATATTTTTCTACTTATAGACCAAAGAACCATATATATAAATTGCTGTGAAAGTCAAAATTTTATTTTGCTTAAATGAGGGCCTTCATGATTCGGTTCTATCTAGATTAAAAATTAAGCGAAGAATTTTTTTCTGATCTATAAAAACACGACCCGCTCTGTACAATATCCCCACAAGATGACATTGTATGAGAGTGTAGACTGAACCATAGAATAATACACGTTGATCCAAGATTTTACATCCAAAACCTGACGTAGTTACAGTAGTGCATAAAAGCTGCTATCAAGTTTTCTAACCACATGGTTTAAATGAAATTTCCAAGATAAACACCCAGTGAACACCCAAAAATTTGGTTGTTTCACTGGGAAGAATTGTAACATCATTGACTAAAACCTGTTTATGATCAATACTTTTTTTAACAAATAATTCAATTAATATTGATAATCATAATGCGGAAACACAAGTAAAAAGCCAATGCATGGGGTCTTCTTTAACAATATTGAAGTCATCGACTTATCAAAGCGCCTGACTTTCACTTCCCTCGGGTCGAGGGTGCTGAAGTCGGAAACTGAGGGGTTCATCATGGCCTGCGCAGTCGCGCAATAGGTATAGAGGTGACAAAGGCAAGGTGCAGGGCCTGACGTGACGCGTCCGAAACCCTAATGCACTTGCTGTCAGCATTTCCATCATGTGGTGTCAACCTATATCGCAGCCCTGAGAGTGCTCCATCACCACCTACGGCACGTTTACGTTATTGACGAGACACCGGTGTTACCCTACACTCCGGAAGAGATTGTTTCCGTTGCGATGAATGAGAAGTGCCGAATTCATTGGAACTATTCATTCCCCACCCTCAGGACCATACATGCTAATAGGCCTGATGTAGTTGTTCAGCGTAAGGCGATCTTTCTTGTGGAGTTTTCAGCTGCCGAACTCCACAGACTCTATTCAGGCCACGCTGTCGAGATGGATGTTTTGAGTCTTGAAGTCTTTGGTAGAAAGATGTCCTCTCCACTTAAGCTAGGTAATTTTAGGATCACCCTCTATCTCTGAAATGCTTTCTAAGTTTCTACACAAAATCATATTCACCAAAATACTTATCAGGACTGTTTCGAATATGAAAGATTTTGAAATCTCTTCACAGAGTCGATAGAGCATGTTTTCAGTGTGGTTTGTTGACATAGGATGAAAAATGGTTGCTGTTTCCAAGTGCTGAAAGTCAACCAAACTAACACCCCGTTTATCGCATTTGAAACACAATGCCCTGCGATCACGTTCGCCCGTTTTTCACTCGAGCAACTCCCACTAAATCGATCAAACAAATCCCATGTACGAGTTATAGCCGCTACTCGAGAATGCAATGAATGGTACACGGTTCCCCTTCATCACCACGTTGTATTGCAAAATCTACGTGCCCCACTTCCATTATAGTTTTCCATTTACTTGTTGGAGTTTCCCGCAGTCGAACCGCAGGACCACCGATCGAGTTCCGCGGAGTTGTATGTACTTTCAGAGCCCCGGGGATAGTGGATAGTGAGGTTATGATGGGCTATTAGACCGCGGGTTATTTCTGTGTTATTGAAAATATCGAAAAATTGTTATTGACGGTTTGGATCCGCATTTACCAGAAAAATAAAGCAAAATGTGTTTATTTCCACAGTTCTTCAACAAATACCACATAATGAACAAGTCACTATGTAGGAGTTGAAAAGCTTGAACACTGCGATGAAACTTGAACCAATTGAGAATGTTCTTAGTTTCATATTCGAAGTTTCTTCAAATCTATCATTGGAAGTCATTTATGCAAATATTGCGGCAGAACCTGGACCGGTTATTAGTTCCAATGAACTCAACATCGGATGATTCTTCAAACTACTCGTATAATTGAATACCAATTCTAATTCATTTGCTTGATTTTATGAAATTTCGTAAATAATTCCAGAATATACATGACTGAAGAAAACTCAAGAAAACAATCAATTTCATTATCCAGCTACTTAGAAATATGATCAACTTATGCTTCTTCAACGGTACTTTTCCTCTCCCTTTCCCTTTCCTTTCCTTTTTCTTTCCTTTTTCCTTCCCCTTTCCGTTCCCTTTCCCTTTCCCTTTCCCTTTCCCTTTCCCTTTCCCTTTCCCTTTCCCTTTTCCTTTCCCTTTCCCTTTCCCTTTCCCTTTCCCTTCCTTTCCCTTCCTTTCCCTTCCTTTCCCTTTGCCTTTTCCTTTCCCCTTACCTTTCCTCCCCTTTTCTCTTTCTTTCCCGCATTTCTCTTCCCTTTTCTTCCACCTTTTCCTCCTCCCTTCCCTTCTTCTTTCCCTTTTGATTTTCCTTTTCCTTCTGAAAGTTGCTGAATTGACCAGAATTGAGATTCTTTCTTTCCTCATAAGTAAATGTCTCACCAGTATAATACAGCCTCTAAAGTACCTGATCATTCTGTCATTTGTCACAGGGTCATTTCCGAAGAATCAAAAATTGGGAAGGTAGTTCCAATACATAAAAAGCAGGACCGAGGAAAACTGGAAAATTATAGACCAGTAACAATAACTTCTAGTTTTTCAAAAATATTCGAATATTCTTACTTGGATAGGCTCATTAACTTTTTGAGTAAGAATAAAATTCTTACTGACCAGCAACATCGTTTTCGATTAGATAAATCTACGAATACAGCAGTGATTAATTTTTTCGACCGTTTAATATATCAAGCAGGAGAATGTCCTGTAGGCATTTTTTGCGACCTAAGCAGGGCCTTCGATTGTGTTGACCAAATGAATCTCTTATCGAAATTGTATTCTTACGGTAAAAGAGGGATAGCATATGATTGGATTCAATCGTTTTTAGAAAGCAGAAAACAATATGTGAGTATATTACATAACAATGAAAATACAACTCTTATATATCACTCCGATTATGCGGAGATTTTCATGGGTGTGCCACAAGAATCGGTATTAGGTCCGGTACTATTTTTGCTGTACATAAATGAAATGGACACAGCCATGAGAGATACTTTTGTGACGATGTATGCGGACGATATTTCATTGATCGTATGCGACGAGTCAGAAGAAGTTTCAGCTGACAAATGTAAAAATGTGGTACAGAAAATTACCAATTGGTGTGGCATGAATTCTTTATTTCTCAACGCCGATAAAACGTAATTAATAAGATTCCATAATCGCCAAAAACAATGCCCTGATATGCGAATCAGAACAGGCAACCTAATACTCGAGAATTCTGAAGAAACAAAATTTTTAGGTGTCACTATCGATTCGTGGCTGAGTTGGAGGAAACACTGTGAACTCCTAATTGGTAAATTAAATTCCTTGTGTTATCTATTCAGAAATATAAGGAATTTCTTGACGAAACAACAACTAGTTTCTTTATATCACTCACAGGTTACATCCAAGCTGAGATATCGCATATGCATGTGGGGTAACTATACATTGGCATCTGAAGTATTCATAGTACAGAAACGGATTTTGCGAATACTGGCTGGAGTTAACAGCACTTTTTCTTGTAGGAGTTTATTCAGGCAGTTCAGGGTTATGACTCTTGCAAGTCTTTATATTTTTGAATTATCTTTATATACTTTTAAGAATAAAGATAAGTTCTTACTGAACTCAAATGTCCATCGAGGCAAAAATCTAATGTTCATATTCCGTACTGCAAGTACAAAATTTCATCAGACACGTCATCTGTGGTGGGTAAGATAATTTTTAATGAGCTGCCAAAATACATAAAACCTCTTCTGTTGACCAGTTGACTATTTCGTCGATTTTCTCACAATGGGACTCTCACAATGGAGTTTTATTTCAACACCTCAACACTTGTTTCAATCACCAAGTGATCGTCTTCGAGAGAAAGTTCAAAATTTAATCTTCCTCTTGAAGATGATCACTTGGTGATCGAAACACGAGTCGAGGTGTTGAAAATAACGGTTTGGTGTTGGGATAACACTCCGGAAATATTCATTACTACACCAAAAGTTCCAAATAGTGCATCACGAATGCAAAGTTTCAAGTTTGAAGTCGGTATTTCAAGTTCAATATTGGAATTTCGAGTTTGAAGCCGAAATTTCGTGTTCATACTCGAAATTTCGAAATTAAAGTCAGAATTTTGACTTTCGAAATTTCAAAGAAACAGAAGCCAGATGTTATATTCTAGGCCATACGGGTAGAGGGTATTTTCGAAGGAAATAAATCATTACAGATATTCATTTCATTCTCAAAATACGATGTTTGTATAAGTTTAACGGTACATACGTGTTTTTCTTTAATTATCATAATGAATACAACCGTTTCCTGAATCACTCCGTAGTTATTGGTGATTCAAAACGTTAAATCATTCAAGTCTGAATTAACTTTCCAAAAAAGTAGGTATTCATTAGCTCAATTGTCAAAATTAAATGTGTAATTAACCTGCATCTCATTTTTTCACTTGTTTCTAAGGTCATATACAAAAAAGATTAACATTGATAGCGTAAATCCATAACCCACCAAATCAATTATATCCAAGTCACAAACAAATCCATGGCCCTGAAGGAATATCCGCTGGAAGCTATAAAAACTCAATAAGTTTTGTTTTTGTTCATTAACACATTAACATAGATGATCAGAGCAATTTATTCAAAAGTGAAAATCTCGACTTTAAGATACGATTCGATTGACCTACTAGCATACTTGATTTCCGTCCTAAAAATATTGATTTGCTTTATGGTGATCATGATTTTTGTTGGAATAATATTCTTAGTCGACACTGTTTCTTGACGAACAAAATAATGCATGACTTTCACTTGTTTCTGACTGGGTCATTTCGGAGAGTAAATATTTATAGGATGCTGTAAAGGAATTTGATAATACTCAAGATTTCTAAATAATGAAAAAATGGAATGAGATGCCATTGATATTTCACAATATTATCATAGTAGTCAAATATCAAATCGATTCCTTATTATTTATTCGGTTTTTCTGACGATGATGAATCAATTTCTGTTTTGACTTTCGAGCTACTGTTCCACTGTTTGAGAGTTTAAATCTACTGATGACTCGGTTTAATCCATATTTTAATTATTAAATGATTTTGACCCAGGTCACCCATCTATTCCGGAAGAACAGCAAGTGCAAATAATTGGTGTGATGGTAGTAAATCCTGAACAGAATGTTTGTGAGGTGTCTCCTTCTACTGTGTGGAGACTTTCCAATAGGAATAGGTATCATCGATACAAAATTAAAATGGTACACCAATCAACTGAAGATGACCCTGATCAAAGAACAGAATTCTGCGAAATCGTGACGGAAACCTTTGCAAGGCGTCCTACCTATCTCAACAATATTTGTTTTAGTGACGAATGTAGGTACATTTTTAAATGACAATGTTCGCGTACAAAATTGCTGTTATTGGAGTGACAGCAACCCTCCAGGAAGCACATACCCAATATCCAGAAAAAACGTTTGGGCAGGAATATTGAAAAACCATATTGTAGGACCTTTATTCATTGATCAAAATTTAAAAGGGAAACTGTATTTGAATATGCTGGACACTACTGTTAACCCTCTCATCACTGAAATCGTCAAAGCGAATCCTAATGAACTCGATATGGATATGGTATTCCAACAAGATGGAGCACCACAATAACACGCCAAACAAGTTCCCGCTCCAGCCCGCTCGCCAGATTTTACACATTTGGACTTTTTTATAGGGATATTTGAAGCAAATGGTGTACGAAACTGAACCTGCTTCAATATTGGATATACGGTAGAGAAGAATAAATGTTTGTAGAAATATTGACGTTACTGTGTTCGAACATGTTTGACGTGAAATATCGGATAGGCTGTTCATATGTTGAGAAGTTCAAGGCAACCATCTCTGAACTGACCTACAAGCTTATTACCTCATATTATGTAAAATGTCAATGTATTCAGGCAATTATTAAAAGTTCAGCTATTTTGTAGTAGTTGAAGATATTGACATTATACTCTAGGGTTGTGAAGCATTCGTCAAGAGCTCTAAAAACATGTGTCACAAGACCTCCCTTTCCATTACATTTTTTCCCAGATGGTGCTAAGTCGCCATCTTGAAAGTTTCATCTATCAATTTCACTTCAAAATAAAGTATTCATGCATTAATTTCATTATCCCAAATTTCAATTTTTTGAGTGGACCCGTTCAAAAAATAAAAGGGGGTTGAACATTAAAGAAATGCAATATAGATAAATCGTTCTGTTTTCTGTTTTGACTTTCGAGATACTGTTCCACTGTTTGAGAGTTTAAATCTACTTATGATCCAGTTTAATTCATATTTTAATTGATTGTGCATAGTTTAACTTACCATCTATATAATATATGTATCCATGAGGTCGAACGGTAGCCGCTCGTTTCGACGTGGGTGCCTTGTTCACTCACTCAAATCGACCGCCGTGTTGGTCGGTGGTTCAAGCCCCAGGTTGAACGATCGATTTTCACTTGCTCTCATCCAACCCGTTTTAGGATTCACACGTTAAAAAGTAAAACCTCGTTAGTCGCACAAGTTTCGACTTTTGAGAGTTGTCGTTCGTAGGGGTGCGACACTAGTTAGCGGACAAACATATTTTAAACAGATAAGATATATTTTCTACTGTTTTGTATCAACCTACTGTTTAATACAAACTACTGCTGACACAAAAACAACTGTTATGCATGGAAATAACCTAGTAGTGTTAGTATGACCCGACTTCATGCTTCACTAATACAATATATATGAGGTCTGTTCAAAAAATACGGTGAATTTTCATTTTTATCAAAACATGTATTCATTCGTCAATTTCTATTTTGCCCCTTCAAAGTATTTTCCTTATGCCAGCGTTTTTCCCATTCTTCGAAACAGTTCTGATATGCACCTTTTGGTATGTCTTTCAGTTTTCTAAGCAATTCGGATGTTGTCTCCTCAATAGACGCAATACGCACCCTTTCATGGGTGCCTTCAATCTTGAAAACAGGAAAAAGTCGCAGGGAGACAAACCTTGACATTTGATTGGATTTGGGATATTTTTTTTGTCTTGGTCTTCTATACTCTTCCATTGAAAGGACTGGACTTTAGTTTCGATGTGATAACCATATACCTATGATTCGTTACCAGTTATGACCCTTTTAAGCGAATCTGGAACTGCGTTGACGCCATTCAACAATTCCTGAGCGATGCTCATGCAACGGTTTTTTGGTCAAAGTTCAGCAGTTTTGGAAAGAACTTCTCTGACATATGCTTCAGTAATATAGCTATAGAAGTTTCATGACATTCCTTATAGAAAAACACGTGCAAACTTGAGCCAGTTTATTCTGGCGATATTTGGACTTTAAGCCCAGTTCACACATAATTGAAGGGACAAAGGTCCGCGACTCGTCTCTGCCAGACTTCCATTCTGTGTGATTTGGACCTTAGACTTTCAGAGCCCACTCTTCCACTT